ATCAGGGCTGGGCGGGGGGGGGAGGGTGGTGCTGTCACTGGGATCCCCCCTTCACCCTCAGGCAGGGGGGACACCCCACTGCTCAGGTGGCTGGGGCGTGTTTGCTGCTGCTACAAACTTCCCCAGCAATGGAACAAACTTGGGCCCAGGCAGCCTGGGCCACATAGCCAATCACCACCCGTCCTCTTGGCAACGCCATTTGGTCAAAAGCGTTACAGACTGACAGACACAAACAGACAGACGAAGACTTTTATTATGTTAAAATATTTAGGGGATTGAAAAGGAGGCGTTCCAGTTGGGGCTGGATGGCTGAGTGAGGGGTTTGTGGAACGGCCTGCCTCTCCATTGAGGAGAAGAACATGTGTGAATACAGACACACACCCCAGGATTAACATGGGCACACAGACAGCATGTGGCCCTAGTCCTCCCTCGGGGACAAAGTTCACTCAGCTCCAGCACAGGCAGACTACAAGTCAGGAAGCTACAGGAGTGGTGTGGCAGAACTGTTTCAGCCAAAATCAGCACATATGCACATCTGCTACCATGCACTTACACACACATGCTGGCACATATGGGAATCCTGCAATATGTGTGTGCAGCTCCAAATGTGGGGCAGCACTTAAACACATGGACATATGCGCATGCAGAGCCAGATGGTGGGGTGAGCTTGTTTGCTTGCTGCTTTCTCCAGCTACACACTGGAGATGAAAGTAAATGATTTGAAGGTCCCTCCTGGCACGGGCAGCTGCAGCTGATCTGCCAGCTGATGCATGCCTGCAGTAAAGACACTGCTTTAACATGGTGCAGGAAACCACAGGCGTTCCTGATGTCGGGCCTCTGGGGCGATTCGGTTCCTCCATGGGGTGGCGCTGCTTTTGCCCACCTGCCAAACCCCCTGCTGCTCCCTCCCTTCATTCCCTCCACTAGCGCTTCCCTGTGGAGTGCCAGGGCAACAAATTCCACATCCCCGCACACACGGGCTTTCCTTACAGCTTTCAGCCAGGCAAGTCCTACCTCTCACTTGGTCCTCCCATGCACCGCCCTCTCTTGCATCCCCCGCACTTGGCAGAGCTACCACTCTCAGAGAATCCACAGCCCTGAAGTGGCCCAAGTAGTGTGGGCCCTGCCTGAGACCGGGGAAAAGCTCAGCACTGCCTGGAGCCTACCCTTTGGGGCACAGCTGCTCCCAGAAATGCTGTCAGAGCAACAGGGGGAAGCGGCCAGAGTTTTCCCAGAGTATTTCCCTGGACTACAATTTCTTCCCTCCACACTGCTCAGAGCCTGTCCTGGTTCTGGGGTCAGTGCAGCCAAAGGAGCCCCTCATCTCTCACGCCTGTCGCCATCACCCGTCCTGCCCACGACCCAGTGGGGTGAGTGCTGCAAGGGCCAGGACAGGACTGGCACCGCTGGGGCACGGAGGCACAGGCACTTGTCCCCCTGCAGGATCAGCGGCCTCGGGCTCCAAGTACACTCAGCAATTCCATCTGGGGACAAGCGCAGGGCTGGGCTGGAGGAGCCTGGACAGGAGGGGACAAGGTCCACGTGGGGCAGCGGGGGCCAGTGGGGAAGCAGCCCCTTGCCCTGGGGCTGAGGCCAGCAGTGCCCAAGACCTGGCTCCTCCACAGCCCCTGTGTCCCACCAGCAGGAGATTGGCAGAGCCTAGTCTGGCCTCCTGCCCAGCCAGCTCTGGATGCCTGGCCCTGGCCCCGCACGTGGGGTTCCCCTTAGGCCACGCAGGCTGTTTGCTCCACCTAGCTCTTCGTGGAAGCAGGCCAGGACTTCTGGGGTGGGGAGCAGGTGCCACATCCCAATAACTGTTCAGCCATAAAGAGCCGCCCTGGGCTCCGGCCTCTGGGAACATGTGAGGAACTCTGTGAGTGCAGAGCAGGAAGTGAGCAGCGAGGGGCTCTTTTGGATGCACTGGTCCCAAGAGCTGGGATAGGCTCTGAGCAGCATGGAGGGGAAGGAAGAAGTTGTCCTCCATGGAGATGCTCCGGGAAAGCCCTGGTCCTCCAAGCTGGAGGTTTGGATAGAGCACAGATTCAGAAGGCAAGCTGGGTCAGGGATCCAGAATAATACCTTGGAAACACCTTGACAGATGCAAATGTGAAATCCTTTGTATCACAGTGGGTGCATCTACACATGCCCCTACAGCGCTGTTGTTACTGTGCCTTCATTTAGCACTTCCTCTTGGATTTCCTCATTTAGCTCAGTAACAACCCACACTGTGTCATGCTAATGGCACATGGTTATTTTTAGCTGGTAGATCACCATAGCAAAGTCCTATACCAAGGAACCATGTTTTTACAGTGATGTAGTAGCAGCATCATGATTTTTGCCCACATACACTATGTCACTGTAGCATGTTGCTACAACAACATAGTGTCACATGTAGCTACGCTCACAGAGTAGTCATACTCGCCCTGTGTTACTGAATACAATCAGGTCCATTTCCTTATCAAGCTTTTCCATGTTATTGACTCCCAATGTATATCAGATTTTTTTGTTACGAGTTTCCAAGAACATAGCCCTTGCATTTTGTGCAGATTTATTTTATTCCATTGCTATTGTCACAGCCCTCAGGTTCATCCATTTTTTTTTCCCTGTATGTTGTTTTGATTCTTTTCAGTTCTGACAATGGTTCCCAATTTTTACATCATCAGA